GCCATGTGGAACCTTGTCCTGAAGGCCCGTGGCTTCTTCTGCCGCTAGCTCGTTTGTTGGAGGCTGAATTATTAGTAGAAAAGCTTCATTCCCTTAAAAATCTAGTTCACAGTAGCCATGTGGAACCTTGTTCTGAAGGCCCGTGGCTTCTTCTCCTGTTAGGATTTTGAGCATGCAGACTCATGCATGTGTATTTCTAGCAGCCAGACCAGAATGGTCAGCCATGGGTTCTGACTCCCCTAACCACTGGGCTATGGGCCCACCCTCTTCCCTTTGCCTGTTTGTAAAATGTGTTTCTTTATGTACTTATTTTTGTACATATGTATTTCTTCTTTTTTTTTTTTTTTTTTTTTGAGGTTTTTTCTATTGGGTGGTTTGCCAGACAGACAGAGAGAGACATAGAGACAGAAAGCGAGAAATCACCCCCCAGGGGGGATGGTCACGCCGCAATCCCTTCTCCTCCATTCTCCTCTCGGGATCTTGGGCACGCACGCACACGTGCCCGGCGTGAGTTTTAAGCCACCGGGTCCAGAATGCGAACCGTGGTCGACTACGTGGGAGTCCAGCGACACAGCCATTACACTAACTGCTGATTCCCATATGTATTTATTCTGAGAGAGAGTGAGCACCCCCACATGGTTCCCACGCCCTGCTCCACCCCCAGCCTCCAGCCAGGTCTGACTTTGGGCACACATGGCCCCAGCACCGTAAGGGAGATCTGTGAACTTGGACTGGGGACCCTGCCATGTGGCTCGGCCACCAGATGGTCTTATTTTACCGCCGTGTCATCATCTGGCCCATGATTTTCTTAACTCAGAAGGAAAAAAGCATTTGGCTGAGGGAGAATGATCCACAGTTTGACTTTGAAAGTCAGAACACTTTTTCAAAATAAATAGTAATAATGACGTTAAAACAAATTGCCACTTTCAGGCCACCCTTTCTCTTTTTCTTTAGAGAGATTTTTGCTATAGGGCACATGTACTTGCCAGAGAGAGAGGAGAGAGAGACAGAAAGCAAGAAATCACCGCCCAGGAGGGATGGCCACGCCACAATCCCTTCTCCTCCATTCTCCTCTCGGGATCCTGGGCACGCACGCACACGCGCCCGGTGTGAGTTTAAGCCACCGGGTCCGGGACGTGAACCACAGTTGATTACATAGGAGTCTAGCAACGTAGCCATTACGCTAACTGCTAGTTCCTAGAGCAGCTTTGATATCTGACTTAATGTATGCAGAGTTCTTCGCTTGAGGCCTGGCACTTGGTAAGCACACGATTGATGGCTACTGCTTATTTTTTAATATTATCAAGGCCGCAGGTGACGTGGTTAAGGGCACTGGACTCCCACATGGCCAACCATGGTTTGAGTCCCAGGCCAGACGGCTTGTTTTCTTACTTTCCTCCTCTCTCTCTCTCACTCTCCCTCTTTGGTCAAATTAAAATAAATAAAGTTAAAATAATACAAAATAGTTGTTTAAAAAAATTTTACAACTATATTGTTGTAAAGAAGATAGGGAGGCCTCAAAAGTCTCATTAGATAGGCCATGGTTGATCTTGGGGTAATGGGGACCATGGAAGGTTTTATAGTGGAGTTGCAAGATGACTGGGGCTTTATTTAAATATGCGGTAGGGCGCTTGCGCTCCCAAGAGAGAGAAAAACTGAGAAAGCATTCCTGGGGATATGGCGACACCACAATCCTTCTCCATCCTCCTCTAGGGATTTCAGGTATGTACGTACATGTGCTTGGTGTGTTTCTCAACTGCCAGGCCCAGGACCCAAACTGTACCGTTGGCCACCGGGGGATCCCAGCCACCCTGACCACCATGGCGCTGGCTGGCCCCACAAGCGGAGCTCTGAAGCCGTCCTGCTCTGGGCCAGCCTATCGGTGCGGAGCAGGTCACTCGTCAGCCCGCAGCTGCTGTGCTTGGGCCCGAGTGACCTGGTGGCCTACCTGGGATCCTCGGTTACATCGGGGACCCTAATTAAACCGAAGGCTTTAGTCAAATTTGGATCTAAATGCAGCTGAACAGCCCCTGCTTGCTGGAATCTACACCCACAGACGCCTACCGGGGGTTCAGAGGCTTAGCCTGCCGACTGAACCCCCCACACCGCCACCACTGCTAGACCTTCCAAGCAACAGCTGAGATCCCAGCTGGGGACCAGAGCCGGGGTACTGGCCGGGCGCCCGACTGGGCCTGCTATCAGGGCTCGTGCAGCTGGCAGGACGGTCTGGGAGAGGCTGGTCTTTATCTCCCGAGCACAGAGCCTGCCCCTAAACGTAATGGTGACTGACGGCTGGGTCACCAGGCATGGCCAGCCACCTGCAGGGTCCAGGATCCCGGCTCTGAAGGCTGTGTGAAGGGGGCCACTCACAGCCCCTCTCTGAGTCCCAGGGTCCCAAACCCTGCAAGTCGGGGGGATGGTTTGAGAAATGCCTCTGCTCAGCAGCAGGGGCGTGAGTGCCTGTGTGTGCTGTCCTGGCCTCGGCCCATCGCTGCTCTAACAGCAGCACGCTCTTCTAGGGACCGAACTTTCTTCCTCTCTGTCCAAGTGGGGGTGGGACAATCAGACTGACCGAGAGTCCCTGCGATCAGTTCAGGGCTGGGCACCTGGCCAGAGCCACCCATTCTGGGATTGGCCTGGGACTTCTTCTTTTTAATTGTCAGAAGGCTAGCAGGTGGTGTGGTGGTTAAGGCACTGGACTCCTGCATGGCCAACAGCAGTTCGAGTCCTGGACCTGGTAGCTTAAAAATTATGCCCAGCAGATGGCGTGATAGTTATGTTGTTGGACTCCTACATGGCCCACCACAGTTTGAGTCCTGGACCTGGTGGCTGCAAACTCACACTGGGCCTGCATGCGTGCCCAAAATCCCAAGAGGAGAATGGAGGAGAAGGGATTGCAGCATGGCCATCCCCCCTAGGGGGTGATTTCTCGCTTTCTGTCTCTCTGTCTCTCTGTCTCTTTCTGTCTTTCTGGTGAGTGCATGCTCCCTGTAGCAAAAACCTCTCAAAAAAAAAAAAAAGTAAAAGGCAAAACAAAAACAAAAACCTGCTTCATGAACTTCCTGAACGTGAACCAAAGGCACCCTGGGCCTGGGGGAGGCGCTCCCCTGCCTTGGTTTCTGGAGGATGAGGAGGCAGGGGGGCTCGCGACTGGAGAACGGACAGAGGGACACGGCAGCCAGAGAAGCCGAGCAGCTGATGACGTCGAGACCCAGCCCCGTCCGGGTGTTTTCTCCCTCTTGGCCCAGCCACCACGGCGTCGCGTTGGCAGCCTCTCCCTTGCATAAGCTGAGGGCCAAGTTACTCAAGACCAGCCATCGATCCCTCCCACACCCAGCCCGCATCGGTGTGGGTGTCAGTGTCGTCATCATCATTTAAAGTCCCGCACCGGGGGTGTCTCCCACCCCGTTTGGAGACTGGCTTTGTTCTCAGCAAGGGCAATAGGGGAGTTGGCTCTGGCTCCGATTTGCTGAGTGCCCTCAATACCACGCTTTACCTGTCCCCTTTGAGGTGTTGTCATTCCCACTTTACAGTTGAGGAGACGGAGGCTCAGGGGACCCACATGGCCCAACTAGTCACTCCCAGTCCTGCTTCCTCATCGTTTCCGGTGGGTCTCGCTGCCTCTGGGGACCCTTGGAGTTCTTGTAAATGAAAGACCATTAGCCTGGAACCAAATGTCCCAGGAGCCAGGACAGTGACAGAGAGAGGACGGCCATGTGACGTGGGAAGGGGTCCCTCGTCACTCTGTCAACAAAGGCAATACTCAGCTCCAGCTGGTTGCTGCCTGTGGGGACATGGGCCCCGTTTGGCCAGATCTTGTTCGAGAGAACTTGAAGTTTTTCACGTTTTGTGTGAAGCCTACTGACTCGAAAATGATATTGGTTTACATTCCATTTACATGAAATGTGCAGAGCAGGTGAGTCCACAGAGATTGTAGATTGGTGGTTGCCAAAGGTGGGGTTTTGGAGGAGGAAATGGGAGGACGGCTTAATGGGGCAGAGTTTCCTTTGCGGTGGATGCAGAGAAACGTCTCAGGACCAGAGCTGGTGGTTACATGACACGTCTCTCAGGCTGCCAGGGCCAGAACTTGAACCTTGGTCAGCCACGTGGGCTCCAAGCTCCGTGCAGTACCTGTCTACTCAGGGCCTGGCCCTGTGACGTCTTTTCTCTTTTCTTCTTTAAGGTTTTTGCCATAGGGCATGTGTTCTCACCAGAGAGAGACAGAGAGAGGGAAAAATGAGAGAACACCCTCCCCCCGGGGGGGAGGGCCCTGCTCAACCCCTCTCCTGTTGGGGTTTTGGGCACGCATGCACACGCGCCAGCATGATTTTCAAGCTGCTGCATTTGGGGCTGGCCTTGTGGGAGTCCGGTTCCTTAACGACACTCCACCTGCTGGCCCCGACATCATTTTGTTTTTAGAGAGAGATTTTTGCTATAGGGTGCATGCGTTTGCCAAAGGAACAGAGAAAGACAGAAAGTGAGACATCACCTCCCCCATGGGGGTGGGGGCTGGCCACATCACAATCCCTTCTCCTCCATTCTCCTCTTGGGATATTGGGCATGCACGCACATGTGCCTGGTGTGAGTTTTTTAAGCTACTGGCTCTGGGATTCAAACTATGGTTGATTACGTGGGAGTCCAGCAACATAACCATTACGCCCTCTGCTGGTCCCCAGTCAGGTTTTACATATACTTTGTAAACACTTTTCTTACGGCAACACAGATGCTCATTTTGTTTATGTGTGTTTAAATGATCACCTTCTGCTGTGCCACCCTCTGCCCAGGCAGCAAACATTAACAACCTCACACACACGACCACCCCCTTTCTCGGTTCCCATGCCTTCGTGTATAAACTTATTACAGAGACATGCAGGAGAGCGCCCCCTGCTGTATCAGAGCAGAATTTTTTACTCTGGGGTTCTTTCCAGAGGGCACAAGTACTGGCCAGAGATAGCAATAGAAAGGAGGGGAAAGCACTCCCCATGGGGCACAGTCATGCTGCAATCCCTTTTCCTCCACCTCCTCATCTTTTTGGGATTTGGGGCGCACACACACGTGCCCAGTATGCTTCTCCAAAACTTCTTAAGTTGATAGATCCGGGGTTCAAACTGCACAGTCAGCCATGTGGGATCCAGCTGCCTTAACCACCAGGCCACTGGCTGGCCAGTATCTTACATTAAAAAATAAATACATAAAGCGTTCATTTATTTATTTATTGAGAAAGACAAGCATGCTCATGCCGAGACACCCCCTCAGCCCTCACCCCCGTCTTCCAGTCAGCCAGGATCCTGGGCTTGGCCTGTCATGACAATTGACACAGGGATCAAACCCTGGCCTTCCGCTATGGCTTCCAGCATCGCGAGCATCAGCCAGTGGGGACCACTGTTGGTGGACCTGTACCTTACATCTCTAGTTTGTGTTTTGTTTTGTTTTAAGAGAGAGATTTTTGCTATAAGGCATGGGCCCTTACCAGAGAGACAGAAAGTGAGAAATCACTCCCCAGGGGGGATGGCCATGCCACAGTCCCTTCTCCTCCATTCTTCTCTTGGGATTTTGGGTATGCACGCACATGCACCTGTGAATTTTAAGTCTAGGACTTGAACCACGGTCAACTATGTGGGAGTCCAGCAATGTAACCATTATGCCATCTGCTGGTCCCATTTTTTTTTTTAATGTCAGGAGAGAGAAAAAAATTACCCCTTTCCCTCCCCTGCCAGCAGTGCCCGGTCATACCATAGTCCTCTCTCCTTTAATTCTCCATTTCTTTGGGATCCTGGGTATGTGGGTGCATGCTCACGGTGTTTTCACGTTGACGGGGCTGGGATTCCAACCCGAGTCAGCTCTGTGGGATCTGGCTTCCTCTGTATAGTGTCTAACCACTGTGCTATGGGGCCAGCCCCCAAACACTTAAATCTCAACAACCACAGTGGACATCCCCTCCAAATCTCTCCTCTCTGCCCCTCCTGGGGCCCCAAGCCCCTTTGCCTTCAGCCAGATGAGAGGGTGTACTCCCAGCTGCCCCCCTGTCGGGCAGGATGTTGCTCCTGTGGGTAGCTACACTCTCAGGGGCTCAGCACCACTCACTGCCCTGGCCCTTGAGGTCTGGGGGTGACGTCGCACCCCCCGCCCCTCACTGCTTGCTAGCCCTGGGTGGCTTCATCATCTGTCCTTAGCTCCCTCAGCATTGCCTGGGCCTCTGTAAAGAGCCCCTTCATTAAACACCCACGTGTCCTTCCAGGAGAGCCAGCTGTGCCATCACAAGCTCAGAACGGATGTAGCCACTAAGACCACGGTTCAAGTCCCAGACCTGGCAACTGCACCCCCCGCCCCTCACTGCTTGCTAGCCCTGGGTGGCTTCATCATCTGTCCTTAGCTCCCTCAGCATTGCCTGGGCCTCTGTAAAGAGCCCCTTCATTAAACACCCACGTGTCCTTCCAGGAGAGCCAGCTGTGCCATCACAAGCTCAGAACGGATGTAGCCACTAAGACCACGGTTCAAGTCCCAGACCTGGCAACTTGAACATCAGTGGATGCAGCCACTAAGACCACAGTTCAAGTCCCAGACCTGGCAACTTGAACATCAGGCCGGGTGTGTGCGCGCGAATGCCCAAAGTCCCAGAAGGGGAACAAAGGAGGGGTTGCGGAGTAACCATCCCTCCTGGGGGGTGATTTCTCACTTCCCCTTTCATTCTCTCTCTTCGATGAGCACACACCCTATGGCAGAAACTTAAAAAAAAAAAAAAAAAGATTGAACTCTTAGGGACACCTAGGAGCCGACCTGTGCAAGCCTGCCCTATTCTGGACCTTGGGGTCCAGTCCCTGGTTTTACCTGCGCAGGAGCCAAGGGGAGGAGCAGAGGACTGCCTTCACCATTTCCTGCCTCCTTGGCCAGGCCCAGGTGAGCCACGGGAAGTTCGTGCATTGCGGCCAAGCAGGGGCATGTTTCCCGGCCCACACCTGTTGACCTCTCTCCTGAAATGAAGATGAGGAGGCTGTGGCTGTTTGGAAGAGGCATGCAGAGCACGCCATCTACACCCTCCAGATCTTGGCCAGCTTCCCGAGCAAAGGCTTCCTCCCAGCGGAACGAACCAGAACAGCCAGAAAGGGCAGGGGCACGGTCGTCCGCTCACCTGCTCGCTTGCAATCCTCCAAACACGCAAACATCTGAAGGTAAACAACACCTTTCCACATCCTCTGCGTCCCCAGTGTGTGGACAGGCAGGTTAGCAGGCTTTGACGTTGGCAAGTGGGAAGTGCACACTCCACCTGCTTTAGGGCGGCTCAGCTAGTGATTTCCAGGGTGGGGAATGTTTGCATTGGATCTGGGGGAGCTGGAGTCAGGCCAGCCTGAGGGGGTGTTGCAGGGAAAGGGCGAGCAGGCGCTGAGACCCAGCACTTTGACAGACTCAAGAATAAATGTGCCAGAAACTGCTAGAAGCTCAGCGTGGTCGGAACGTAAGTTAATGTGTGTGGACTCGGGGGGTGCTGGCTTACGGTTGGGAGGATGTGCCTCAGTCGAGACCAGGGGAGGCCACAGGGGTCCCGAGGTACTGGAAAGCCACCAACAGCTTCGCACAGCAGAGGGACAGTGCCACTCTTTGGAAAGGTTGTTCTGGCTGCTGTGAAGAATGGATGAATGGGACCTGAGACCAGTTCAGGGGCGGCCGCCATCAGGAAAGGGATCTGGGGGCAGGGCTGGGGTGGAGGTGAGTTACAGATGGTTGAGGTCTGCAAAGGCAGTTGAAGGGACAACACGGAGGTTTATCACCATAATGGCCTCAATATTGACAACGACACCACCATGCAGAGAACTAAACAATAGCTTTATTTCATACTGAATAGGACTCTTCTCCTCACCTCTTTCTTATTTATTTATTTTTTAAAAGTTTTTAAATTTTGGCACGTGTGCTCACCAGAGTGAGACAGAGAGACAGAAAGAAGAGGAGAAAGCATTCCCCCACCGCAGTGGGGCCCAGCCCTGCCACAATCCCTGCTCATCCTGTGGGGATTTGGGGCGTGCACGCACACACACACACACACACACACACACACACACGCGCACACAGTATCTTACACACACACACACGCACCCAGTATATTTTTCAACCCACAGGGGCCAGGATTTGAACCTCATGGTCAACCAAATAGGATCTGGCTTCCTTAACCACTATACCATAGGGCTGGTCCTCCCTAGCCTTTGTATTTGAAAACATTCTAAACCTCAGAAGAGTTGCAAGGCAGCTGCCAGGAGCGGCCATGTACCACTCAGGTTTACCAGTTGTTCCGCACGTGGCCCCTCCCCCGACTCCTACTTTTGTTTCAGAACCACTTGCAAGTTAGTTGCAGAAATCGTAACACTGCACCTTCAAATAGTCCAGCACTTATACTTATCTCTATGGAATGAGAACCCCTTAAGCAGGTGCAATGCTGTTATCTTACTGAGGAAATTTAACATCGACACACTATAATTTAACATAAGTTTCCCAGTTTCCCATTCAGATTTCTCCACTTATTCTAATGACAGCCTTTTTTTTTTTTTTTTTTTTTTTTTTTTTGAGAGAATTTGCGATAGGGCATGTACTCTCCCTGAAGAGACAGAGAGACAGAGAGACAGAAAGCATCCCCTGAGGGAATGGCCATGCGGCAATTCCTTCTCCTTCTTTCTCTTCTCAAGATTTTGGGCAGTCACGCACATGCGTCCAGTGTGAATTTCAAGCTGCCAGGTTTGGGACTCGAACCTCAGAGTCAGCCATGTGGGATCCAGCTGTCAACCTCTATACCACTTGCTGGCCTCCTAATCATGTTTTTAAAAGTTGCTGCTTTTCATTAAAAAAAAAATCTGATATCCAATCAAGGAACAGGTATTATATTTGTTTCCCATGTCCTTTTTTTCCTCTCTCTCTCTGTCAGTGTTAGCAACTTCATTTAAGAAAAATTCGAGGCCCAGCCATCATGCCACATGGAGACATTGTACTCCATAAATTGGGGCCACATTCAGTTCTGGTCCTTAGGCCGAGGGCAGTGGCCTGTGCCTGTAACTCCAGCGAATGAGGAGGGTGAGGCAGGAGGATAGCAATATGGAGAGACCCTGTCTTGGGGAAAAAAATAAAGTGTTTTTTTTTTTCATTTGTTTTTTGCCATAGGGTGTGTGTGTTTGCCAAAGAGGAGAGAGACAGATTGTTTGCAGTCACCAATTATTTGCACCTCCCATATTTATTATTCTCCTGTCTACAAATATGTATTTAGTATTTTGTCCTCAACCGAAGTAAGATGCCTCTCTTGTTCCTAAATCCTACTAAGGACATTATTTTACATAACCACAATGAAAATATCAAAAGCAGGAAGTTGCGGAACCAGCAGATGGCCTAATGGGTATGTTGCTGGACTCCCATGTAGTTGACCGCGGTTCAAATCCTGGACCTGGTGGCTTAAAACTCACTCTGGGCGCGTGTGCGTGCGTGCCCAAGATCTCCAGAGGAGAACGGAGGAGAAGGGATTGCGGTGTGACCATCCCCCCTGGGGGTGATTTCTTGCTTTCTGTTTACGAGAGTATGGT